ACTACTACTACTACTACTACTACTACTACTACTACGATGTACGACGACGACAACTACTGCCACAACCACGACAACTACGACTTCGACTACTACTACGATTCGTCGACGACGACGACGACGACGACGACGACGACGACGACGACGACGACTACTACTACTACTACTCCTACGAATACGACGACTTCTGCTACTTCAGCTACGTCTGCTACTACTAGTATTACTACTACTAGTATTACTACTACTAGTATTACTACTACTAGTATTACTACTACTACTACTACTACTACTACTACTACTACTACTACTGCGACACAGTCCTACGACGACCAGTTCTACTACTACTACTACTACTACTACGAGTACTACTACTACTACTACCACTACTACTACTTATTCTACTACTACTACTACTACTACTACTACTACTACTACTTCTACTACTACTACTACTATCCTTTACGGCGGCGATCATTACTACTACTACTACTACGAATACGACGAAGAGTACGAATGCTACGACTACTACTACGACGACGACCACTACTACTACTACTACTACTACTACTACTACTACTACTACCACTACTACTACTATTATTACGACTACTACTACTACGGCTACTACTGCTACATTACTGCCTTCGTTCGTCAAGCCTAGATCCTGTCACTGATGGCCGGCTACTACGATTACATCTAATAGTATTACTACTTGTACTTTTACGATTACTACGACTACTACTAATACCAATACTACTACCAATACTACTACCACTACGACTACTACAATTCCACAACTACGAATACTGATACGGAAAAGTATACTACGAGGATCATGACAACTACTACGACTACTACTACTACTACGATAATTACTAGTAACCGCACTACTACTAAAACTACTACTACTACTACTACTACTACTACTACTACTATTACTACGATTACTACTACGACTACTACTACTCCTACTACTACGACCACCACGACTACTACGACGCGTACCACTCCTCCTACTACTACGACTACTACTACTACTACTACTACTAATAATACTACTACTGCTAGTACTAGTACTACTACTACTACTATTACTACTACAACTACGACTACGACTACTACTGTCACTACCACTACTACGACCACTAGTTTTATAATTACTACTACTACCACTGCCACTACTACTATTACTATTACTACTACCACCACAGTACGACGACGACTACGACTACGACCACTACTGTTACTATCACGACTACCACGACTAATTCTACTGCTGATTCTTATACTTGTA